TACGATTCCATTTTTTTTCAAAATTGCATTAAAATTTAAAAAATGACCCTACACAATCTAAATTCATAGGATGTCATCCTTCTTATGGAATACATCAGCGTTAATATTTTGAGACCGAAAAGTTTAGATGTTTTTTGAATACTGAATGGAAATCACTTACTATTTATTAAATAAAACTGGCAAATTAGGACTTATGAAGCACAATAACAATGTGAACCTTTGCTTTGATATTAGAAAGGAGTTAATTAGCTAGTGTGATGTTTTTCACATTAGTGAGAGGTAACAATTGTGTGAAATATCTATCAAAGGTGAGGATGTTTGTTGTAAGAGAAACCTAGTTGAGAGTTCAGTGTGAGTTGGGCTGTGGTGATCCTACAACCTCTCGCGAACACAACAGAAGCGACTCACAGGTAGGGACCCCGCTAGGGGTAAGGGGGAAGTGGGGATAGTTGAAGAATAGATGGGAGAGAGGAAAGAATTACAGAGAAAGGAAAAAGAGTAGAGGTTAGACCCAACAGCAAGAGCACTGTAAAGCACTGTACAGCATTGTAAAGCTTGCGACAACCTCTCGCAACACCAGTTGCTGGGAACTGTTCGGAAATGTCACTAGGAGCAACAGAATTTTTCTAAACCTAATGTTTTCCATATATATTTTTAAATGTTTTAATAAACAGATTAATATATGTGTTTCATCAACCTGAATGACTCGTTACCTAATTATCTAATGTTATATAGTACATATGTAAAACTAATATGAAAGAAGTCTGAGAAATTATGATATGCGCGGGATTCTGATGTCTTAGACCTCACATACTTACAAGTGGAGAATTTGTATAACTTGTGTACATATCATTTCAGTTAAATGTCCTGAGATAAATAATAAAGTTACTTTTTATTTGATGGTCTTTCTCCCCTTTTTCTAGTTCATCTGTCTTTCCATCCTTTATCTCGCTATCCTCTCCCTTATTCCCACTCTTCTTGCCTATCTCTATTCCTTCATGTCTATTTTTCTCCCAGCTTTCTTCCCTCCCTCCCAGCCTTCACAAGTAGAGGAATGAGGCTGATGACAGAGTAACAGGTGCGCCCCTATACAATATGGTCGCATATATTATAAGACTAAATGGAGCTGTCATTTCTCCCCATCTACTCTCCCTCTCCTTCCCACTTCCATGGTGGTGATATTGGAAGTGGCAGTGATAGTGGTGGTGATTGTAGTGTTGGTGGTGGTGAGTTGTTGGAAGGGTGACCCCAAGTGTGTGAACACGTACCACCACGCACAAATAAATCACAGGAATACTAGGAAATATTTCTTTAGCCTCAGAGTGGTCAGGAAGCGGGATGAACTGGACAGCACAGCGGTGGAGGCAGGATCCATACACAGCTTTAAAAATAGGTATGATAGGGCTCATGCAGCCAGGCGAGAGTAAACTCAGTGGAGAGAAGGGGCTAAGAACTAGGACTCAACCCTTGCAACCATATAAGCGATTAGATAGAGGTAATGCATATAGGCGAGTACAGGGAGAAGTGTTATCCCCATAAAAGCTTGCCCACCAACTTGTGTCTCTTCTTCACTAGTGGTAAATTAGATTGATGGACTGATTACATCGACTCCAGGCTGAGGGACTGATTACCTCAAACTCCTTCTGATCTTCACCATTATTCTTAGTATAGGGGCTCTGGTGGCCTGGTGGTTAACGCTCTCGCTTCACACGGTGAGGGCCTGGGTTCGATTCCCAGCCAGAGTAGAAACATTGGACGTGTTTCTTTCAACCTGTTGTCTATGTTCCCCATCAGTAAAATGGGTACCTGGGTGTTAGTCGACTGGTGTGGGTCGCATCCTGGGACACTGACCTAAGGAGGCCTGGTCACAGACCGGGCCGCGGGGGCGTTGACCCCCTGAACTCTCTCCAGGTAAACTCTCCAGGTAATAGGACTGATAAAGCCACTGTGTGGCAAAACGTTTCCTCAATATAGATACCCAGTGTTACACTTATGTTACCAACTTGTCGGTTCTTTGAACCATTTATCTTCACTACTGTTGACAGTACGACATTTGGATCTGTCTCTCTGTGTAGATATTTAACTATATCATGTCTCATTTTTAAATGTTAATGCATGTAAGATAAATGAGGTTAAGATTGATTTACCATTACTCTGTGATGATAAACACTTTCAGTATTGACATTAGAAAGAGGCTTAATGGATTAGTAAGACTCAGCCAACATTAACGTATAATAACCTCACATTAACCTGTAATCACTTCATGTCACTTACAGATTATCTGTAAGTACCTGGCAAAGGTTATATTTTATGTTCTCTTACGGTAATGTATAAGCTTAAGCTCTCAGTATTGTTAGCGGCTTTCAAATTGAGGAATAAATACACGAGTAATCCTCAAGCACTCCTCCATTATTTTCTTCAATATATATATATATATATATATATATATATATATATATATATATATATATATATATATACGTGGATTAATTTGGTATGCAAATTTTTATTGGTGCACCGAAATTAACTTATGAGTTTAATATTGTTAAAATTTACGTAAAATAACATAATAACATAGGTTAATTTTATCCAACATGCCTTACGTCAGCCAGAATAGTTATCCTTTTGTCGATGTTCAGAATGATGTATGTGTCTAATTTATCATCAGAGTTAGAAAAAAATAAAATACGTTCTTCTTGCTTTGCCAAAAGAAAGAGGTATATACATATCTCTCAGTATATACTAATATATACTGAGAGATGTTTAACTATCGGTGTATATACATATAGATGTAAGGTATTCTTGATGTTAATGTCTAGGCAAATTATATTTGTAAATGGCCCTCAAATAAACTTGGCTGAAGCCGGTAGGAGAACTGGAGCTGCCTCGCATAGGCCAGTAGGCCTGTTGCAGTGTTTTTTCTTTCTTATGCTCTTCTTATCCTTATTATTTTAAGTAGTTATCATCACTACTACTCTAAGTACTTATCATAACTATTAATATAAGTAGATATTATTATACGTAATTATCATTATTATATGTAATTATTCTTATTAAAGGCAATGTAATTTGTCAGCGTAAAACCACAAGGTGAGAATGGGTGAGCCAAGGCGCCGTGACAATCTGATATCAGACGACCGCCTACAAGCTCAGTATTGATCTCCCCCTCTTTGTGATCATTCTTTGTGATCATTCACGGTGATCATTCTTTGTGATCATTCTCTTTTCCATCAGGTGACGGTCCAGCAGCCACTCGGAGACCATTCATTGTAGCGGCTGAGTATTGATCTTGACTAAGATCATTCAGCGTGTAGACACCAGCAGCTGGGTATCGACCCACTGACAGTGAAAACAGATTGTAAGAAAACCAGAACAAAGGGTACTGGGTCGAGGAGACGGTGAGTCGAGGGTGCTGTGAATCATGCAGGTCGTCCTGGGTCGTCCCTCTGTGACTGGGTGAAGGGGAGGGGCTGTGTAATCTATGACAGGTCGTCCCTGTTACTGGGTGAGGGGGGGGGAAGAGACTGTGTAGTTCATGACAGGTCTTTCTGGGTTGTTCTAAGACTGGTGATGCATCAGTCATCCCCAGAGCCTGTCACTACCTGGGTTGTGATAGGTTGAGCACTGCGGGCTGTTTTCTGTCATCCCTCACTGGCAATATCCTGAGACGCTATGTAGTGACCTTTTGTTTTGATAATGAGCTGGAGGATCTGGCTTTGGCAAACCAGATGGTGCTTAACCACGGGTTTATAACACAGGTAAACCAGTGGTGCCTTAACCACGGGTAAATAACATTAGTAGTCAGTGGCTGTTTAACACGGGTATACAGCACTAGTAAGTCAGTGGTTGTTTAACAGGGTATATATTATTATTATTATAATAAAAAAGAAGCGCTAAGCCACAAGGGCTATACAGCAACAGGGTATATAACATTTGGTTAGGATGTTGGTATACTAGTCACAGGAAAATCCGGATGATATCGGGGAGGTCAGTTAGTTGGACATACGCCATCATCCCTTCGTTGCGATCAGAGCTAGGTTATCTTGTCTACGTAGGTAGTCAACAGCGTCGTACACGATATTGATGGTGTGCTGAGTTCTCTTTTGGTTTCCGAAACCGAGCGGCTTCTCTGTGAAGAGATGGTGGTGTTCCCTTTAGAAATTCAACAAACTGGAGATAGTTTTCTCTAGTGATCTCCAACACGGAGATGGGTCTATAGTCATCGGGCCTGTGGTTATCTTTGTTGGTCTTGACAATGATTATCATTTTTGCCATCTTGAACACCTGTGGGAAATGGCCCTAGGCCAGGATGGCTTTGTAGATGTTCAGGAATGACTCCTTATACTTGTGAAGGAAGTACTTGTTTTGCAGTTATTCTCGAGGATCCCGGAGCCTTGCTGTTCAATTTTTGTGTGACCAGACTCATCTCCATACGAGTAACTAAGACTGGTGAGGGAAGACAGGGGTCGTCTTCAAGGGTAACCGTGTCAATTATGGGCAGGGGTTAGAAGTCCTCTAGGTTGTCAGCTTCCCATTATTAGACCCTGTGATACTGGTCCTTATTAACTCTTCGGCTATTGCTGTGTGAGAGAATCTTCTCCCACACTTCACCCATCAGAGATCAGTTATATTGAGGTTTGAGAATCATCCAGATTGACTGACGCTTCTTCATCGTCTTCATCGGTGAAAGTGTATATCAGATACTAAGTACGTTTCGACGTGGATCACAGTAATTGTCAAATTTTCCTCTAGAATTGTTCAGCGTGTCAACTGTTTTGGTTAGCCTGAAGTACGAGGTATTTTCAGAGTTATCTTTTGTGGAGCATCACAAACCCCCTCCTCCACACACACACACACACACACAAGCTTACACAATAGCTACATGTACTGTAAGATTGTTAGTTGCTCACTGAGGTCGTTGGGTTTGAGCAGCTGGCGCGCTAAATACAGCTACCTCAAACTTTTGCGTGACATTTAACACTTGTTCATCTATATTACAGGGTCTTGTGTGTGGAGTTGCTCACTACCTGGTGTGGAAAATGTGCAAGATATGAGAAATGGAAGGTGGGATAGCCATGATGGAGCCAGCGTTCCTGTGGTGGCACGCCTGACGGGAGGAGGAACCTGCCAGTTGTGACGGGAGTAGCTGCATCTTGACCGAGGTAACGAAAGCAGGCGTGCCTATCAAGAGTGACAGGAAGAGGTGTATCTTACGTGAAGTGACAGAAGGGTGAGTCTGCCAGTGTAGGCCGTGACGCTGGTGCTGCTGCTGGGGTGGTGGCGGCATGCACCTGCCACGCCGCCTCTGTAGCCTGCTGGGGGGTGTCTTCGTACTCTTTTTCTGCTTTTTCTGCGTGGCTGACTACTACGGCTATCATTACTACTACTACTCCAGTACCGCCATCCTTAGCGAGGCATATCCGCCAGCACTGCCGCAGGTGCGCACCCCCACACACGGAACACCCACACCCACACACCTCTTCAATGATACCACAGACTCCCTGTGGGTCGCCCCACACCATCACCCCGACGCCAGATACACTAAAGAGAAGAAGAGGCAATGCAAGAAAAAATACTGGAAGTGTAACAAGTTGCCGACGGACCCTGAACCTCCACTTGAGATGTTCGAGGAAGGAGGAGAAGGAGGAGGAGCAAGGTATAACTCTACCTTCGAGACTAACTCTTTGGAGGACACCCCTCTGTGGAACCAGTTTGCTGATCGCGGCTACACAGTCCTCGGTAAGTGAACAATCATTTGCCAATCTGATACTTGTGCTATTTAGGAAAAAAATAGTTTCAAAGTTTGATTAGTATGTGTAAAGTAGATACGTTTTCTTTATGTAAACACTCGTTATAACGAACTAATACGGAAGTGGGGGTGGGGGGATGTGGTAGGTGGTCGGTAGTGGCAGCTGTGATGGATAGAGAGGAGACAGTGTTGCCATGATAGTAACAATAAATAACACTGATGTAACCAACGGATTTTCTTGTTTCAGAATTTACTGACCCAACTTATTTTGTTCCATTCTAAAGAAGTTCGTTGTATAGAGGTCAGTTATATCGAGGGTTTACATTTTATGGATAATATCTTATAGCTATATAGTTATTATAGTATAGTATAGACCACGGAACGGGCGGGATTTGAATCCATTGCAAGTGAGTCCGAAAATTCAAAGGCCAGTGCGTTATCCTATGAATTTGAGGACTCACTTGCCATGGATTCAAACCCCACCCGCTCCCTGGTTTGTTTACAAATGTTTTATTACGATTTCATGAGTCATAGTATAGTATATTATGTTATAGTATGTTGTTTTTTTTTTTATTTTTTTTATTCACCGGTATTCTTCCGGCCCGGGTCTTTTCCAAGTAGTGGTGACCCGGCCTTGGCTCCCTATCTGGGGAGTGTCTCGAGACTTAAGTCTCCCATGGGAGGAGGTACAGTACCTCCTCATCTTTGGGACCAAGTGTCCCCAGGCCTAGCCACATTCCCCGCCCTCACGGGGCTCGTAGAGAGAAGCTAGGCCTCTGGTCTGCCATCTACCCCGCCTCGAAGGGGCTCGTGGGGATGGCAGTCTTATGAGCTGCAGATGGTAGCAAGCTCAGTATATTGTGTCATAGTAGAGTATATTATATTATAGTATAGTATATTATAGTATAGTATATTATAGTATATTATGTTAGTATATTATAGTATATTATGTTACAGTATATATTGTTATAGTAAAATATATTATGTTTTAGTATAGTATATTGTTATAGTAAAGTATATTATGTTTTAGTATAGTATGTTATAGTACAGTATATTCAGAGAAAATAAGCAACACCCAAGAGTGTTTCACAATGTTGTTGTGATGGATGTTGAAGTACTGCCATTATTACCTTGCTGCTTGTTGTATACTGTCTCTCTGCCAGGTGATGTTATCAGTGGCTTGGTGACTCACACACCATGTTGTCTTCACCAGGTGATGTTATCAGTGGCTTGGTGACTCACACACCCACGTTGTCTTCACCAGGTGATGTTATCAGTGGCTTGGTGACTCACACACCATGTTGTCTTCACCAGGTGATGTTATCAGTGGCTTGGTGACTCACACACCCACGTTGTCTTCACCAGGTGATGTTATCAGTGGCTTGGTGACTCACACACCACGTTGTCTTCACCAGTGTGATGTTATCAGTGGCTTGGTGACTCACACACCATGTTGTCTTCACCAGGTGATGTTATCAGTGGCTTGGTGACTCACACACCACGTTGTCTTCACCAGGTGATGTTATCAGTGGCTTGGTGACTCACACACCACGTTGTCTTCACCAGGTGATGTTATCAGTGGCTTGGTGACTCACACACCACGTTGTCTTCACCAGGTGATGTTATCAGTGGCTTGGTGACTCACACACCATGTTGTCTTCACCAGGTGATGTTATCAGTGGCTTGGTGACTCACACACCATGTTGTCTTCACCAGGTGATGTTATCAGTGGCTTGGTGACTCACACACCACGTTGTCTTCACCAGGTGATGTTATCAGTGGCTTGGTGACTCACACACCACGTTGTCTTCACCAGGTGATGTTATCAGTGGCTTGGTGATTCACACACCACGTTGTCTTCACCAGGTGATGTTATCAGTGGCTTGGTGACTCACACACCATGTTGTCTTCACCAGGTGATGTTATCAGTGGCTTGGTGACTCACACACAACGTTGTCCTCACCAGGTGATGTTATCAGTGGCTTGGTGACTCACACACCACGTTGTCCTCACCAGGTGATGTTATCAGTGGCTTGGTGACTCACGCACCACGTTGTCTTCACTAGGTGATGTTATCAGTGGCTTGGTGACTCACACACCACGTTGTCTTCACCAGGTGATGTTATCAGTGGCTTGGTGACTCACACCACGTTGTCCTCACCAGGTGATGTTATCAGTGGCTTGGTGACTCACACACCACGTTGTCTTCACCAGGTGATGTTATCAGTGGCTTGGTGACTCACACCACGCTGTCTTCACCAGGTGATGTTATCAGTTGCCTTGGTGACTCACGCACCACGTTGTCTTCACCAGGTGATGTTATCAGTGGCTTGGTGACTCACACACCACGTTGTCTTCACCAGGTGATGTTATCAGAGGCTTGGTGACTCACGCACCACGTAGTCTTCACCAGGTGATGCTATCAGTGGCTTGGTGACTCGCACACCATGTTGTCTTCACCAGGTGATGTTATCAGTGGCTTGGTGACTCACACATCATGTTGTCTTCACCAGGTGATGTTATCAGTGGCTTGGTGACTCACACACCATGTTGTCTTCACCAGGTGATGTTATCAGTGGCTTGGTGACTCACACACCATGTTGTCTTCACCAGGTGATGTTATCAGTGGCTTGGTGACTCACACACCACGTTGTCTTCACCAAGTGATGTTATCAGTGGCTTGGTGACTCACACACCATGTTGTCTTCACCAGGTGATGTTATCAGTGGCTTGGTGACTCACACCATGTTGTCTTCACCAGGTGATGTTATCAGTGGCTTGGTGACTCACACCACCACGTTGTCTTCACCAGGTGATGTTATCAGTGGCTTGGTGACTCACACACCATGTTGTCTTCACCAGGTGATGTTATCAGTGGCTTGGTGACTCACACACCACGTTGTCTTCCCCAGGTGATGTTATCAGTGGCTTGGTGACTCACACACCATGTTGTCTTCACCAGGTGATGTTATCAGTGGCTTGGTGACTCACACACCACGTTGTCTTCACTAGGTGATGTTATCAGTGGCTTGGTGACTCACACACCATGTTGTCTTCACCAGGTGATGTTATCAGTGGCTTGGTGACTCACGCACCACGTTGTCTTCACCAGGTGATGTTATCAGTGGCTTGGTGACTCACACACCACGTTGTCTTCACCAGGTGATGTTATCAGTGGCTTGGTGACTCACACACCATGTTGTCTTCACCAAGTGATGTTATCAGTGGCTTGGTGACTCACACACCATGTTGTCTTCACCAGGTGATGTTATCAGTGGCTTGGTGACTCACACACCACGTTGTCTTCACTAGGTGATGTTATCAGTGGCTTGGTGACTCACACACCATGTTGTCTTCACCAGGTGATGTTATCAGCGCCTTGGTGACTCACGCACCACGTTGTCTTCACCAGGTGATGTTATCAGTGGCTTGGTGACTCACACATCATGTTGGCTTCACCAGGTGATGTTATCAGTGGCTTGGTGACTCACACATCATGTTGGCTTCACCAAGTGATGTTATCAGTGGCTTGGTGACTCACACACCACGTTGTCTTCACCAGGTGATGTTATCAGTGGCTTGGTGACTCACACACCATGTTGTCTTCACCAGGTGATGTTATCAGTGGCTTGGTGACTCACACACCATGTTGTCTTCACCAGGTGATGTTATCAGTGGCTTGGTGACTCACACACCACGTTGTCTTCACTAGGTGATGTTATCAGTGGCTTGGTGACTCACACACCATGTTGTCTTCACCAGGTGATGTTATCAGCGCCTTGGTGACTCACGCACCACGTTGTCTTCACCAGGTGATGTTATCAGTGGCTTGGTGACTCACACATCATGTTGGCTTCACCAGGTGATGTTATCAGTGGCTTGGTGACTCACACATCATGTTGGCTTCACCAAGTGATGTTATCAGTGGCTTGGTGACTCACACATCATGTTGGCTTCACCAAGTGATGTTATCAGTGGCTTGGTGACTCACACATCATGTTGGCTTCAGCAGGTGATGTTATCAGTGGCTTGGTGACTCACACACCATGTTGTCTTCACCAGGTGATGTTATCAGTGGCTTGGTGACTCACACACCACGTTGTCTTCACCAGGTGATGTTATCAGTGGCTTGGTGACTCACACACCACGTTGTCTTCACCAGGTGATGTTATCAGTGGCTTGGTGACTCACACACCACGTTGTCTTCACCAGGTGATGTTATCAGTGGCTTGGTGACTCACACACCATGTTGTCTTCACCAGGTGATGTTATCAGTGGCTTGGTGACTCACACACCATGTTGTCTTCACCAGGTGATGTTATCAGTGGCTTGGTGACTCACACACCACGTTGTCTTCACCAGGTGATGTTATCAGTGGCTTGGTGACTCACACACCACGTTGTCTTCACCAGGTGATGTTATCAGTGGCTTGGTGATTCACACACCACGTTGTCTTCACCAGGTGATGTTATCATTGGCTTGGTGACTCGCACACCATGTTGTCTTCACCAGGTGATGTTATCAGTGGCTTGGTGACTCACACATCATGTTGTCTTCACCAGGTGATGTTATCAGTGGCTTGGTGACTCACACACCATGTTGTCTTCACCAGGTGATGTTATCAGTGGCTTGGTGACTCACACACCATGTTGTCTTCACCAGGTGATGTTATCAGTGGCTTGGTGACTCACACACCACGTTGTCTTCACCAAGTGATGTTATCAGTGGCTTGGTGACTCACACACCACGTTGTCTTCACCAGGTGATGTTATCAGTGGCTTGGTGACTCACACCATGTTGTCTTCACCAGGTGATGTTATCAGTGGCTTGGTGACTCACACACCACGTTGTCTTCACCAGGTGTTGTTATCAGTGGCTTGGTGACTCACACACCATGTTGTCTTCACCAGGTGATGTTATCAGTGGCTTGGTGACTCACACACCACGTTGTCTTCCCCAGGTGATGTTATCAGTGGCTTGGTGACTCACA